CGTATAAACCCGGATTGGGTGGACAGGAGGAAGAGCTTCTTCCGCCGATCCTCAATGCCCTTTTCTGTAAAGTAAATAGTACTGATAGTTAAGACGCTGGCTGCGGGTGGGTGACCACTTAGATCAGCCAGCGAAGGAACTGTTCTACCGCCTACGTGCTCAGGCCATCGGGCTGCGAAAGCGAGGAAGGCTGGATCAAAATTGTGATAGCCCGTCTTCGGATCGTTCTCAGGGATGCTTCCCAGACCGTCGCCAATAGCCCATTGTGCATCTCTAATGCGACATAAATAAACTACCAAATACTAAAAGTAAATTGGTAGCAGAAGAACATCACAAAGAGAAGGCAGGAATTGAACCCATAACCTACACACTTCGAAGTGTTGTGTGAAAGAGCCTTTTACCTCTCTTCCTGGTATTTCCCTGTAAGATCTGAGCTGTGGTTTTTTTAGTGAACTGTATGGCTAGGACTTTCATGGTTGAACCTCAGTCTTTCGGAAACCCTTTGGATTCCATTGTCTCGTTAGATGTCTAAGTTAATTTATTTCTAAAACCGAAAATTTTACTCCCACCAACTTGATGTCTGAAAACTGAATTATCGTATTGACTGAATGAAGTAACATTTTATTTGTTTCAATATTAAAGAATAAAAAAAGAATTCTTTCTTTATAATTTATTTATGTTCAGTTGAGGTCGAATAACATTCTATGTTAGTGTATAAATTTTAATTCGTTTTACTGTAAGATAGTAGTTTTAGAGGTGAAACCTTAGGCATTCATGTTTTGACTGAACCTTGTGCAACAAAATTATAAAACCATTGTGGTTTTTGTTATATTTATTATAAGTTATATAAATTTTCCAAAATTAAGTTAATGAATACATGCATATCAGTTTTAAGAGATACATTAAAATTATGATATTTTATCAACACTATCAAAATTTCCCCCGTGAAATATCTGCTACAAAATTTGAATTTGATTGTTTTAAAATGAGCTTTTTTACCAAATTAAAAAGATATTGATCCACCATTTCTTACGAAAACAAATAAATTCTAATTTTCTTTATAATAGTATCGTTTGCGTTTTCTGCAATGCTAAGTGACACTTTACATACGATTTTCAAAGAAAAAATAAAAATATTTTGAAAAAAGAAGTAGGTGGTCTTATACTTATGTATTATACAGATTTTTAAAAAAAATAATTTGCTGTGTGAAACTAACTTAATTCATTTTTTTTATTAATTTAATAAAAAAATAACTTATTTCAGTTGCTTCACTATTTTAAAATGATTGATTTCATGCAGCGTACCCTAAAAATTATTGATATTTGCGGTGGTCTTATAATTTTGTAACACACCGTAACTGATTTCCCAAAACTAGACAATTATAAAACGTGAAAACAATTGTCTCACACTGCCATTTTCTTTCTTCATACATAAGCCTGGTATGTTTGCACTGACGTTGTTATTTTGCTTCAGATGGCATCAGCTTGATAAATATTTAAGAGACTGTATTGCAACTGATTTATGTAAATATACTGTTCGTCAATTTTCGCACAATGATGTACTGTTGACAATAACAAATTAAAGCTTTAAAATGAAGTACACAGTTGTTGCTGTTTTTTATTTCGTTTTAATGAATGCTCATACACATTGGTGGCTAATGCAATATAATCACATATGCTTATTAAATTACATGTGTAATAAATATAATCACAGTGTCTAATGTAAATAAGATGTAGCAATGCAATATTTGATTGTCAGCATGTTAAAATGATTAATGTGTCCGCTTGAAGAAAAAAGGAGTCTTAAGTTAGGTTTTGTTATTAACTTTATGCTTAAGCTACTCTAATGGGGGCGGGGGATCTTGGCGAAGATTTTGAATTCATCCTTAACATACTGTTGTCCGGTGACGAATGAACCCTTTTCGTTGTTGAACCATGACGAATGAACTTGTTTGATCATGAAATCAATATTTAGAATGTTTTACGTTAATAGCAAAATAATAGCCGGTCAATAAAGTGTTAATAAGCGATTTGGCTGAGAAGTCAACTTGCTCCGGACAGCGAATAAATATTTTCAAGTGGTACTCTTTTTAATGTGTGGTCCCGCAGTGGACTGATCGTCAAAGTCAAGCTTCACTGGCTGCGGTCAGTGAGCGGGCGGGTGACCACTTGGATCAGTCTGCGTAGGGACTAAGGGTGTGCGGTATGGGTCCTCGTTAAACTGTTCTACCGTAAAGTGCTCGACTTCGCGTGCAGGTCATCGGGCCACCGAAGCGAGGGGGGACATCCCCTCTACAGAGGATCAAAATTGTGATGGCTTGTCTTCGGATCATCCTCAGGGATGCTTCCCAGACCGTCGCCAATAGCCCATTGTGCAGCTCTAGTGCGACGTAAATTAACTACAACAACAATTCATTCACAACTTCTAAATAATTCGAAGGCTTATGTAATACGTGACTTAGTCACAGTTAAGCCGTGTTGAAAAAGTTGGAAAAATTAACTGAAAGTCTGCAAAATTTTTTATTATAGTTCTCATTTGAAATATTTTGTTGAATACAGACCAGTTTGTATCACTGCACTTTGGTATAAAACTGTTCGAAAGGTAACTTGAATCGAATTTCTTATATTTCCTGTAATTTTTTCATTGTGATTAATAAGTCGGGACAACAAGGATGAGCCCAATTATATCTTTAATCTAGCTAGACAGTAGGCAGAAAAAGCAAGTCTTAAAATATCACCAAAAGATTTAAGTCTTAAAATGAATGTTGTCTAAAATATTGTGCGATAATCTCCGGTAAAAAATGAAATGACACTGTCAAAAATAAAGCTTTTTGTACGGGGGGGGGGGAAAGTCACATATGTAAATTTCATGATATTAATTTACTTACGTTCCGACAAATAAAGATTCTGAATTCTGATGCGTTCAGCCAATGTTTAGTTATTCAAATACATGGGCAACCTTGATTTCTACGAACCTTGTTAAACGTTACATTACATTAAAATGACATCAAAGAACAATTATTGTAGGCATCACAAAATTATGAATCTACCTAGAAGCATTTTTTTTAAATTTTATGCAGTTGTCACTAATAAATATCAAAAGTTTCTTTTGTAATTTTGTGAAACTTTATTCTTTGCACTTAATACTAATTCAATGAATGAATTATAAAAATTAAAAAGAAAATAATGTTTCACGCGGAAAGTAAGTAAAATTTATTTATATATTTTTTTAATTTTATTTATTTATTTTTTTAACTTTTATGACATTTATAACTTTCAGATATACTTGAGCACGTGCTCTTTTTCGTGACTCAAATTAAGATATAAACTAGGAGGCTTCGCCCCCTGCTCCCTGGCGCTCGCCAACCCCCGAAACTGCTTTCACAGTTCATTTCGGATTGCTTCGCTATCCGATTCTTGCTTTGCTCGTTCATTGGATACGTTCTTAACGTCTAGCTTTTGTTTACTTTTTTGAACACTGAAGTTCCGAAAACTTTTCACTGTAGAAAATTCTAAACCTGTGCATTTCAATATTAATTTGAAATTGCAAACAGTTCACATATTTTTCTTAGTCACACTATTCTAAATTTCAGTTGTTGAGAAAAGTAACTGTTGTAAGTTTAGTTTTAAAGTCTTTCCCACAAAAGGGCTAAAGCCATGTGTTGTAAAACAATATGAAATAGTAGTCTGCCACTGAACGCCGGATGTAAAGATAATATAACAAAACGTGGAATAGTAAAGCGCTCAATTCAAAATAAAATAGCAATAGCATAACACTTCTCATTTCTGCCAATGAAAAGGAACTATTTCAGTACTCATAACCAACCAACCGTTTTTTTCTCGGTGACAATCGGAGATAGATAGACATTTGATGCTCACTACGTGCTCATGCGCGCCGAAGCCTATCAATTAAAACGTATTAGCGTTTTATATAATATAGATTAGCCATATGATGCTCACTACGTGCTCTTGCGCGCCGAATCCAATCAATTAAAAATGAAAACTGTTGCCAGCGCGAGAAAAGAAATATCATCGGTTTTATTGATACATACGTACGTATTAGCGTTTTATATAATATAGAAGATAGATAGTAAAAGAATTAACTGTAGAAATTATTTTATTTATGTATTATGCAAAATTATTGAAAAATAATCCTAAATTACTAAAATGCTAAAAAAATACTATTTTTCCTCTATTTTGACCTAAGTTGATACAAAATAATTTGAAAAAAAATTTTAAAATAAATTCTGCGACTAAGGATTAATTTTAGCAGAAAACGAATTTGTACAACTCCACAAGCATGCTATGATGCTACCAAAATAAAATAACAAACGGTGATACAGAAATTTAGCCAGATAAAGGATAACACTCAAAACATGGCAAATTTTATTTAAGTTGTGATATTTGTTTTACCAAATTTTATTTAAGGTTCACCACCTGTTAAGATTATATCTTTTATTTTCCGGATTTTTTTTTCTCCTTTTTTCGGATTTTTTTCTTCCGGTTTCTTGTTATTTTTATTATTTTTCTTTTTTCCCCTATTTTCATTGTTCTGTAATTTTTTCCATGTTTTCTCTACATTTTGAACTTATATAAATATGTATATATACACGCACACCTTGGAGAAAGATTTTGTACTCCAACGTATCATCCTAGTTAAGCTTCACATTATCGCTGTCGGAACGAAAATAATATAATTAGATTTAAACGAACAACTAAGGATTGAATCATTTTGCATTTCTTTCAAGTATTCAACTTCCGGACTCAGTATTTTAAGCGGAAGTAGCAATTCAAATGAGTAAGCCTGCCTTACGAATCCAAGACCTTAAATAATTCTGACGTCAAATGTAAATTTTTCCGGAAAAAAATTATTGAAGGCTATTAAAAAAAACTCAAAACACAAGTGTGTTTTTTTCTTCTTTTTTAGTCTTGCTCCATCTTATCAGCAAAAGGTAAGTATCTACGATAAGGCTACACCTATACATTGCAGAAAATATTTCCCAGGTATCACTGCGCCGACAGACAACGCCTTTTTTGGTGAAAAAGCAGTTTGAATAACCTAATCTACGAAGCTCTTTTATTTTATTGCCATTCGGCGGATCTTTCCCTTTTTCACTCTCTGTCAAACGAACGCCGCGTTTCCTCTTTCTGACCGATTTATTTATTAATTGCGGATATTTGCCGCTAAGAAATAAAGAAAGAAGAAAAAAAAACTTTCGGTTTTAACCATGGGTTACGGTGCCAAAGATGAAGAGAACCCAGTTTCGGAAGACGAAACTGAAGCAGAGAAACAGAAGTTGAGAACCCCAGAGATGGGTGACGATGTCGAATTGAAGAAAATACCTGTCAAGGTGAGGGATGCTGCCTATCCGGAAGTGATTATTGGAAACAGTGACCCATTGCTGAAGGTCCATCATCTGAAATATTTGCTGATAGGGTTTAACGGATTCTTAACGGTAAGTAAACTCAATGAGATTTTTTTTTATTCCATTAGAAATAATCATTCATTTTGTTTACATTTGTAATGCAATTTTATGTTCAATGTGGTGTAAAAATAGCCTATCATTTGAGCCTTAGTGGTCATTTTGACCATGGGAGCCGGTATTAGACCCCCAGAAAGCATGTAACCTTACGACAGCCTTGTGTCTAGATTTTCTTTTTTTTATCACTTAACTGTTTGTCCTAAATACCTTTTTTCAAATAAACCAAAAATATTGCAGTTTCTAACCTTTCATCCTGGTTGAACACTGTTTGCATTACAGCAGTATTATATTTTTATAAATTCTCAAGCTGATTCGCCTATCCTCTGATTCACCAATTCCCTGATTCACATTATCTCTGATTGAGTATGGCACTTTATACATTCTTTTAGTCATTCATCTACCCATTCACTGATTCATTCCTTTTTTTTCCCTCCACCAGAGTAATTTACACATTCCTTCATTCACGGCTATGCATTTACATGTCTGTGATCAGATAGTGATACTGAACCAAAAGTTAAACCTACCTAGTTTGTTTACTTTTTGCTGGAATTTTAATGGATCCCTTCAATGACTTTTATTGCTCAATTAAATTGAGGCAATACCTTTGTACCTTTTTAATTTAGAATTTTTCTCAAAATACAATTGAATTTATGAATGAGGACGAATTTGCCTTCGTTGAAGAATTTTTGTCAGGAAATAAAAGTCACTGAAGTTCCCACGGCTATCCAGATGGAAATAGGTTTAAACATTTAGTTCGTTTCCTATTGGGGCAGTGTGGTCAGCGATGGCTGAACTGGTTATCAAATCGGTATCCTCTTCAGAAAAAAGTAGTAAGTCATCGTAAGGGTAGAAAAAGGTTAATAATTAAACCTAAATTAAAAGGTTAAAAGTTAAACTTATAGAGAGATTTAAATCAGGATGATTTAGAAAAATGAAGCGCTTCGGTTCGAACCCCAGTGCAGACTGGTCGATTTGTATATTGCTCACAGTTCGCCCCGACTACAGCTCTGACACTAGACACCTTTCGTGGTAAACGGATTTTAAGCTCTTTGTCATCGGGCTAAACGTGGAAGATTTTCATGGTTTTTCTTTCCATATAATGCGATTGAATATTCCTTATTGCACCTTTTTTTTATGAAGCGGGTTAGTACCACAAAAAATTTTGAGTCTGTCCCGTTGTTTGATCTCAATGCTCCCTTGTCTTCAGGGTTAGGTTCAAAGTTACAAATATGAGGAGTTTAATATAGTGATAGCCGCAAATTCAGTACTAAAGCTCTCCTTTAACCATTTCTTTGAACTCTTTTTTTTTATACTTTATTTTTGTGCAAAACATTTTTTGAATTAAGTTATGTGCTTTAAATTAATGAAATATTTGAATGTTTCTGTAAACGTTCACTTAGTTCTTTTGATCGTTTATTTATATTTTCGATGATTATCAGGATTTTATGAGTGACTAACAAGAATGGTATTTTAAATGATGACTCGCACTGAATATAAGAATGTGATTTTAAAAGTTTAAAGAATTTTTTTAGTTAATAGTAGTGAAAACTAATAAAAATAAATTTTTTTTCTAGATTTTTAAAAATTTTTTCTTGATAGAATATGTCCTTATAAAATAAAACAGATACTAGAAATGCAGTTCGGTAAATATGGAAATTCGTATTTTTTTTAAGAATAAGAATTTTTTTTGTTTTTTCGTTTCAAAACCCTGCTCGAAGCGAAAAACAAATTTTGATTTTCGCAAATTTAGTTACATAATAAAACTATATAATTTAAAATAAAACGCAATAGATTTTCTTAAATAACTATCTTAAAGTAACCAGTGAATGCTTGAGTTCTTCTTTTAAACTATCGAAAATAGTTTATTTAAATTCAAAAGCTTTTAAGAGAAATAGTTTTTTAATCTTTCCTAAAAGAAATTGTGAAAATAAATCTAACTGGTTTTAAAATTAAAGGTTTCAAATGAACACAAACATTTAAGAAGTCTAAATAAATTCTAATGAATTCTAAAGATGTGAAAAATTTGTAATTTTTGTGAAAAGAAACAAAAATGTTATCAACAACTAGCGAAACATTATAGTATTCAATCATAGCAATAAAGACTAACAACTATCTACCGATTGGAAGTGAATGATGATTGGTTCTAGTTTCATCTCTAGCTCATTTTAATGATTTTAATTCACTCTTTGCTGCGATTTAATGTTTTCATGGCCTTTTTTTTTTTTACCCTGAGATGTATTTTCATAACATTTATATCGTTTTTCATAACATATATTTATGAAGTCTATTACTTATCAACTGTAGTGAGATATTTCAGAGTTGAAACGAAGGGACCTGTGCCTTAATGGATTAGTGGTTAAGATACTGAGCTGTCACTGTGAAGAGCTGGCTTTCGTTCTCCATAGATGGCTTAAAATACACCCAACATCAAAGCGATGGGAAGTAAAGGGGGTCCAATGGTGACCCCTCTCCCGTTGGTCACGAAATTGTGGAGCCTTGAGATTCATGACACCCGCGATAGGCTGTTGCGAGATAGCTTCAATGTCTAGGAATCCTAAATTTTTAAGACATAAAAGTAACTGTAACTGATTGTCTACTTTCGATAGTTCTCAATTTTTTAAAAACTTAGAGAAATAATTCACATTTCTATACAAAGGATTAAACAAAATTTGAAAGTCGAGGAATAATTTTTGATAAAAGAAAAAATATTGTTGTTTTAAATACAAACTCATTAGGTTTCTGGTTTGTGCTCATGTAGAAACAAATACAAATGTTAACATGCTGATGAAATTGAAATAGTTGAAAAGATGCAGATTTTGAATAAATAGAAAATTGTCCTAGCAATAGTTTATTTATGATAAGATAAATGTTCAAAGTTAAAATAAAGGTACCAAGAAATTAAAATAATTTGCTTTATATCTAAGTGTATTGTGTTGCGTAATAGTTAATATATTTTGCTCAAACTCAATTAGGCAGTTTTTTTGTAATGTATTAATCAAAAACAGTTTGATTGATTTGGAGGTTTATGTTACAGCAAATAGTTGAAATATTTTTTATTTATTTATTTTATCAATTCGACTATACAAATAAAATGCGTTTATGAACGTAAATTCGATACATTAGATTACTTTTTTAAAAAAGATATCTATAACATACTTAATTTATATTTTAATTCATTGTTATGTAATCACGAATTGATCTTTCAGGAATTATCTTTTATCAGGAATTTAATCAGGAATTATTAAAAGTGTAACTTATCAAAGCCTAAAATATGGAACTAAACTTTCCATGCTTCTATATGTTAAGATTAAATTCGAAAATTCAATTTGCTCAAAAGAAATTTCCTTTTTCTTCCGTTACAGTGATATCAATTCTGAAGAAAAAAAGTGATAATTTTTTTTCCTTCCTTCGGATTTCTGTGAGATGGAAATTTCGGAAGGGCGAATATTTTCTCGTTTATTAAGAAAACTTAATTAGTTTGGCGTAATCTGTGATACAATTCTTAATTTAATATTTGGTCTATAAAAGAATTAAAGGAAGAAAATAGTTTAGAAAATTGTTAACGAGTTTTAAAGTACGTATTTCTTTTTAAAGTTAAGAACGCAATTAATATGTACGTCGTCGTAGTAAGTAAAAAGCCATTATTTCAAATTCCGATTCTTCGAGAACTCTTTGTATTTTGGTACATAAATTTACTCATTTCAAAATGATGTAAAAATTTGTATATCTTACAAATCAAAAGTTTTTCGACCATGATTAAATAAAATATTGAGAAATAATAAATATTTTTTTTAAAATAGGGATCATCATCGCATACAATTATAATTTTTTGCACACAGTTATAAAATTAGTGTATCCCAAGAAATTTAAAGTTATTTTTTCCATACAATTAATATTTTTTTAAATTTTGTTTTAGTTTATTATTATTTGAGATTTTATTTTTATATCAATTGGAAAAATTTTGAATTGTAAAGTAATCAAATTTTTACATCTTGTTAAATAATGTAATTTTAAAGGCAAAATAAAAAATAAGAGAAACTTGTACGAAATCGGACTAATATATTTTGAGTTATCAAATTTTAAAAAAGCCGTATTTTTCAAATTTTATTCCTCATTTCAAATTTTATTCTTTTAACTCTACCGATTTCATTTAATTGTGCATTTTGCTATATAATATTTTAAAATGATATAAAAATTAAATACAGCTTGCAATTTAAAATTTTTTCCGACTTCTAATGAATAAAATACTAAAAAATAATAACAAATATTAAAAAGGATTTATTGCGTGATATTATCGTTGGATAAATGAAATTTATAACTGTTAGCAAAAATATTTTGATTTGTTTATTAAATTCTCGAGATACAGCGAAATTCCCAAAAAATGACAATAAGGAATCCGAAATTTCGATTGTTCTCCTGCTTTAAGCAATTAGGACCCTCTTTTCTAGATTAAAGCTGCACTTCATAGTTTGAGGGCCAGAAATCCAAATCTGCCGAAGAAAAGGTATGTTTATTCAGTGAAAGTATGTTTTTGAATTCAGCTTTGTAATTTAAAATATCGTTTGCATTTTTTCTAATTTGAAATATCGTTTGCATTCTTGTAATTTAAAATATCGTTTGTACGAAATTAATTAGCATTCTTAGGGTTAAACCCTGGAACCATTAAGTACGTCAAAATCCGATTATTTTTGATCAAAACTAATTCAGGATGTTCACTTTTTCTATTTTGCGCTCAGTACACAAATATGTGAGACAATTGATCTTATAGTGTCACCAGTTTAAAAGACTTAAAACTGGAAAGGGAAAACTAGTATTTCTTTTCATGAGTCACATTAACATATAAATATTCTATAGATTTAATTTAAGAACTTATGTCATTTGCGTTCTTACAATAATAATGAAAAATTTGGTAAGGTTTAAAATCTAGCAGGAACCTGTTTTTTTTTCTTCTAAAATTAATGACTAACTTTAAACAGTCATTTCAATAACAAAAAAAAAAAAAATTATGGAAAGAAAGGATTAAAATGAATTGAATTTAAATTTAAATCGAGTCATTTTCACTGAAAGAAGGACTACTAGCGCCATCTGTTAGCATATAGAGGATACTATCTATTTCCACTAGATTGATGAGTTTAAAATTAAAACGGTTTTGGCCTTTAAAGCTTACTTGAATAATCAGTATGACCCTAAGACAGAAAAGTTTGGAGACCCCTGCTCAATAGTGGTCTAAACATACACATACTGAAAGCTGTATAAGGATTTAGAAATTCATATTTTTTCCAAAAATGGCGCTGAGATTTTTCAACTTCTTAGTTCTGTCGAACCGGTAAACTTCAATATTTTTGGCTGTAAAAAGAAGAAAAAAAATTAGTATTGAAATATAAATGCGATTACTTAGAAAAAAATAATGATTTTTTTTTAAGTAATCGCAAGATGTAAACATTTTATGTATTTAGTTTTATGTAACTGTAAATTCCTTTTCGAATATTTCTATTCTAAGAATCGATGGTTGCGTACTATCAAAAGCTAAAAATAACATTTTGCAATAATGTGACAAGCATTGCTGGTTGGTATTTTTGGGATAATCATGTTATAAAGTACTGCAATATTATTTTAAAAACTCCAAGCATTTTCGCTTCAGTGATACCTTCTTCCAAAAAAAACCATGAAGAAAGATAAGATAAAAACAAACATTTTGAACTATGATTCTTTTCAGCCGTCACTGCAACCGCCTAAAAGGAGATAAAAATGGATCATTTAACGCTCCTTAATCTCTCAAACTTTTATTTTTTGCATGAGTCCTGCAATTGAACCTTTTTTTTTCTCATTATCTCAAGTTATGCGGAGTGTACTTTATCTTAGCAAACATATCAGGAAATGACTCACAATTCAGGTACAAAAAAATAAGTACTTTATTTGATTTACTGCGTTTATAACAAAAAATAAGGAATGCTGTATAGTAGTAGAAAACTGTACGTAACACACATTGTGACAAGAAACGTAGTCTTTAAAAAGAAAATAAGACATACGGTAATAGAAAACAGGAAACAGTCTATAACAGTTCCTGGCCAAATTATGAGGCGCACTATAATAAGATTCTATGTAAAATCTTAATTATCAGGTCATACTATAAAACTGTATTGTTTTCACGCGGTTTGCGCTTGTTTATGTTCGTGTATCAATGGGTTAATTATTCGTGTTCGCGTATCAATGGGTTAATTATTCGTGTTCGTGTATCAATGGGTTAACTATTGATAATGTAAATTCGACGATAGGATACATTGGACGATATAATATAAATATGGAATATTTATTATATCAAACATTATACTAGCATATTATAATAATGAGATCAAATGATGAGACAGACTGTAGTTGTTTTAATAATGACATGATCTGCACGTGTTTATAGGCAATACTTTTATAGTTAAACATACATGTCATGGGTTTTTATCCGGGAGATTTTTTACATATTTCCTATTTGTATTTATTTTTAACGTACTGCATTACAAATGTTAACCCATTGATACAGGAGCGTAAACATCCGAGTAAAAACAATAAAGCTGTATAGAGTATCACATGATTTTACATAGAAATTTATAGGGAGTCTAATAATACGGCGAGGCACTGTAATTTATTATAAATATATTAGACAGCAAATTTTGGTCTTGTGCTGCTCTAAGGTTCGTATTTCGTTTTTATGTCACGTCTTCAAACTGTTTTTCAATAGATTTAAGAATAGGATTAGACATAAGTTAGCATGAAATTAATATATGGGACAAATTATTTATTTCAGACATTAGGACTCGTCCTGCTATCTCTCTCAATCTGGATTTATGCTGATGCTGAATACACCCAGCTGGAGACAAAACTGAACGTGGACAACTTCAAGACTGTGTGCATACTGTTCATCGTCGCTTCCCTCATCGTCATCTTCGTCGGATTCCTTGGATGTTTTGCTGCAGTTACAGAAAGACGATGGTTGCTCATTGCTGTAATTATACATTCTTTATTCTATGATGCAACATTAAATAGTCATCAGCAACATTAATTAGCGATATAGTGTGAAAAAAAGTATGAATAAATTTTAAAAAAATTAGATCGTAAATCGCGTTGAGGATTACTTTATCGATATACGTTTGCCGTCCTTTTTTCAGGAATTTTTCTATTTTTTTTTTTTTTTTGAAATGTCTAATTTGAAATTAATAATCAACTCAATTTACGAATGCTTGGTACTCATTTTATCGACCCACTGAAGGGATGAAAGGCTGAGTCGGCCTTGCCCGGCCCAAGGATCGAACCAAGGACCTGTATTTTTTGAGTACCAAGCATGCTTGGGAACTAACACTGGGGGTTCCGCGTTCGGCTGACTACCTGACCGGAACATATGCTCCTGCACCCCAGAGCCCAAGGTCAAGAAAACTGAGATGGGCACAGTCGGCCTTGGCCCTCTTAATGGGCTGTCGCGCCACTGAGTTAGTTAGTTAGTTAGTCAATTTACGAATGTCACACCGAATGTGGATTCTATTCTAAAATTATTTACTTAACCGCCTCCCTGATTATTCCGAGTTAACTCGGGTACGTATATATTGCAAATATTTATCATGCCGAGAAAACTCGGGCTTAACAGAATGTATCGGTACATTTTGTCTTTTCGGAAGCCAAAAACATAATCTGCTGTGATTGAAAGTTTTGCTGTTGGACTACACACGTGTTTTGTGCGATTGTACATACGACGGCTGCTGAATTTGCATAGCAATAAGAATTTTTAAAAAAAATGGCATATTCCTTCACTGACGTTTAAAAAGTATCATTTCGTGTTGTCCCTTGTTTTAAGAACTATCCCACAAAGACTCGTATTTAACTTTTTTCATTTGCCCGAAATAACTCGGGATAGTAAACTGATTTTAAATTAAATGTTTCTTACACATAAAAAAAATAAAAATTTCAACTTAAAACGTGTGCATTATGTTTTGTTTTAGTTCCTTGTATTTATTAATAAAAAAAAATATGTTGATTTTTTACATTTTTTTGTTCAAAATAATTGGTAAGGGAAGTTGTTAATCTGTCATGAAAATATTTGTTCAAAAACTATAAAAAATTTTTGAATAATGGCAGATATCCGTTTTTTGAAGGTAGATTTCCTGAAGAAATAGTATTCCTGAGAAATGGTGTATCGGAACCCTTTCCAACAAATTTATTTTGTAAAATAATATCTCTTTGTTGTCAAATAATCACAGTTTGCGTCCAAGTCGACATTAGAACATATTACGTTCCCTCCATAACTGAAGTTTGTAGATTTTCAAACATTTGTCTCTAACTCTCTAAAAATGACCGTATTTATTCCATTTACAGTAACTCAGATGGGCCGGGATAGCCTGGTCGGTAGGGAGCTGGGCTCATGTCCGAGAGTTCGAGGGTACGCATCCCGCCGGCCGAAGACTCACCGTGTAGTAAAATGGTGACTGATGCCCGTTAAATCTGTCGAGTCGCAAAGTCCTCCATGTTCCCATAACAAATCAATACTTCTGGGGGTACTGAATTTGAGATGGATCGTTCTCTGATTCAGGTAAAAAAATTACGATCTGTGGATGCATGAATGGATCTGCCCTATAAACGGGCGTGACAAATGGGTGAGGCAGAAGTCGAATTCTTGGCCGTAGATGGCGCCACTGGAAAACAAGAACCATCGCACTCCTCTGCTTTAACAGGCATACGTCAACGACAGTAATTCGGGTATGGAACAAAGAATTTGGTGGTAAAACAATCATAACCGATTTTGAAATTACCTAAAGGAAAGTTTTGTGAATAAGTAGTAAAATTCCATAAACGCCAAACGTTTTTTGAATGAATTAACGCTGTGAGTTATTTACTGTGTAGTGTATGAGAGTGTGAGTGTGTGCATAACAGTTAATTCTTCAATGCTGTGAAAGTATCTCTCTTAGATTCAAATTGTACTACAATGAATTGCTTCCTTTTTTCCAGTTTATCGGGATTTTTGGCATTATTTTCGTCGTTGAGATTGGAGCTGTGGTTTTAATGTGGAGTGCACCTTACAGCAAGACAGTAAGTCAATTTAATTTGTTTTTGAATATTTAATGTTAACTGTTATTCCAGCCCGAAGGCTCCCAACATTTTTCGACTGCAACCCAAATTATTAGGTAAAATGTAACAAGCTTGGATTTTTTAATTAAAGAAGTTAAATAGTTACACGGAAGTGTTACGTTTAAAATAAAACTGCTCAGAAGGAATCTGAATTCTGTAGGAATCAAAGAATAATGTGGTTGATGCAAAAAAATTAATAAATGGATTGTTATACTAAATAATTATTAGACTGATATACTAGCATTAATAAATAAAATAATGATGTGATTTGTTAACGAAATAATAATAAGATTGATAAACAAAATAATAATGGGACTGATACACTACATAAAAGACTCGATATGCGAACCCATAATTGGTTTGTTGCAGTAAACCAGTGTTTCCCAAACTTATGACTTTTATGTGCCCTTTCTAAATTGCTCGTAACGCTGTGTACCACTAATAAAAAAATTTATTTTTTAGTAAAAAAAAATTCCGCAAAATTAAAAAATCACAACTAGCTGTTGTCACCACTGATTATTAACTGTTAACTCTGCAAAAAATAGCCAATAGAAAATACGTAATTGTAAATTTTCATGGATAGCTTTGTTTTTAAATAAAAAATTTTTGAATTTTCGTTTGTTGCAAGATATTTCGCATAAGAACGCGTATCCTCGCCAAACTGCTCACGTACCCCTGGGGGTACGCGTACCACAGTTTGGGAAATACTGCAGCAAACAGTAATAATACTGATAAACAAAATGGACTGTTACTCATTTTAATACGAGTTCAGCCCAAACTATCTGCAAACTATGCCGTGTCTCAAGTTTGGAGCGCGACCTGCTTGTTGGAAGACCCCGATCTTTCAAAGAAAAAAAGAATAAGTTGTACGGCAAATTACGTTATCTAAACATGACTTCCAGCTTCGAAATTTAACCTGATGATAAATATATAAATATTTAAATTTTTCACCTCATTATTTTTTTTTTTTTAATGGCGGGCACTTGGAGCCATTGTCCATTGGCCACAGAAAGTGCCAGAACTGCTAATTCTCTTTTCGTTACCCAGTGGGCACCTGTGGCGAAGCCATGGCGGTGGAACAGCGTCGCCCACGTCACACTACCACAACCCGTTTATAGGGCGGGTCACATTCACACATTCACACACAAAGGAGAAAGGACATAGAACACAGGAGGGAAAGAAACATCCATGCCTTGCCCGGGATTCGAACCCAGAACCTTTCTGATGCAAGGACAGTTCCCTGCCCCCTACACAGACTGGTCGGCTCACCTCATTATAGATAGCATAACAAGAAGAGATTGACTAGAACCTAAAATAGCTATAAAGTCCCTCCCCCCCCCTCCAATGGTCAGACGAAATATCGTTCCGTCCATTTTATTGTTTGACAATTCCATGTCCATCATGCAGTTTTCTGATTGTCATCCAGCTGCGAAAAATTCATATCCTTGTTGACATTAGGACGGAATTCGGCAGAAGTTTCGCAATGACGATGACTCAATGAAACCAATCAAAAGCCCGTATTTTTGTGAGCATACCGCATTTTGCTATAAGTAAAAATATAAACTTTTGATTAACCCAATATATCTATCGTCATTGCGGCGAAAATTTCACTGAATTCCGTCTTAGAAAGTCATGGATTTATGAACTATAGATTGTGTTCATGCGATAGATTAATGAAGAAGTTAACATAAAACTGACGGATTTTACACTGTACTGATATTTTTTTAAAAAAAAAAGTTCATTAAAGAAGGACGACTCGATTTGGGGACTCCCTCTGATGTGGGACCCCGGGGCAACTGCCCCTTATGCCCTTGCCTTAGTCAGGCTCTGAGAATGTATAAATTGATCAGAAGACTATTCTTTCAATAAAAATAGGATTGATTACACCAGATAATAGTAATAGTATTGATACCACGCAAAATATCAAGATTTGTATATGAAATAATTATAGGAATAATAAACGAAATACCTTAAATAAGTAATAATACAAGTAGTAAGAACTGTTATATCTATTTCACAGATAACAAGAGAACTTGAGAAACAGATAAAACTACAAATAGATTCAAGACCCATAGACGATTCTGCAAGATATTTCACAGATTTCATTCAATCACACGTAAGTCTTCATTCATTTCATTTATTCTTCATTCAGACCACAATTAATGATCTTGACCATAAAACATTCTTCATTTACGATTGAAATGACAACTAGTATTCAGATACGATTACAAGTAATAACGATCAAGCCCTCTTGACTGATTTACAACTGTGACTCTGACTACGAACAATCATAATTGTATGTCATCTTGATTATACATCGAAATGACTCATAGTGAATAGAGCTTATAGTTACTTTTAATAGTAGTTACAGATATGTCATAATTTAAGATTTTAATTTCAATCATGTTTAAAAACAATCATAACTCAGGATTTAAAAGTGTCATTAAAATGGCGTCCAATATTGATCTATGACTGAAATCAATGTCATTTTGATTCCAAGTAAATCATCATTATAAGTAGTCTGGAATAAAAAGTAATCGATTACTTTATTCAATAATACAGTGAGTCCTAATTAAATAAAGCCACCTTCATTGAGTGCTATTAATTGGATGCGAAGAAATGGTTGCCTTCATTTCTGTCACAGACTAAAATCGCTTCTCTTTTGTATATATAAAGCCTTATGGCTGTTTTTCGAAGGCTCCGTCGTATTGTAAAATAACGCTTTTTGGCGAATAATATGCTCCTTTTATAAGTGCTGAGATTTTTCAACACTTACTCACCTTATCTATAAATAATTTTATGATTTGTAGCTCCAATGTTGTGGTTCTTTGAGTCCTAAAGATTATGGAGAGAATGATGTTCCCAATTCTTGTGACAGTGAAGTAAACGGATTAGCTTATCAGGAGGTAAAAATTTTCAATTTGTACTCTATTTTTTCATAAAGCTTTTAAAAACTAAAATATCTGACGCACTTCATTCAGAACTAATTACCTATTCATATTCAAATGAATGACTTATTAATCATAACGCTTAAATCGGTAGACAAAAACATTAATTACAAGGTTTTTTTTCTTTCTTCAACAGTTAATGCCTCAATTCACTTTTTAATTGATCAACAGAAGTTTTTTATAGTTTCTGAACCGTCTGAAACGTTTTCGTGAAATTCGAGACATTTCAAAAACAGCTATTAAAAATTTTTGTAGTGATTACAGAAAAGCAGACATTCTTAAGTAATAGTTAGTAATGAAAAATTGAAGAGTGAAATAGTTAGTGAAAAAAAAAAATTTTTCAAAATTTTTTTAAATTATTTTGTACGTTGTACACGTTTCAAGTACTCTATACGTACACGTGCTTTTAAATGAAGAGCTTAGTTGAAAAATATAGTAGGTAATATTTTGTGAATTTTATTAACGTATCTAGTTATAAAAACCTTTCTAACTTTTAAAAAAAAATTGACAACTAACTACGTGTCACAGCACTTACGACAAAGTTTAAAGCCAAGTTTAAAAGCATTAGATGTTTTTAAATTTGATAGATTAAATGTTTTCAAAGTGACACTTAACATGTTGTCTTTAAGTTTCTCAATTATTCAAAATTGAGCCGCGATGACTCAGGGAATAGACCGTTCGTCTTCCAATGAGGTGAACCAGGGTTCGGTCCCGGCGATGGCTGGTTGATACGAATACCGCATCCGGCTTTGCACCGACCACAGTTCTGACTTGAAGTATCCTCAGTGGTAGACGGATCATGGGTTAGAGTCCCCTTGCCATCAGGCTAACCGTGGGAGGTTCTCGTGGTTTTCCTCTCCATGTAACGCAAATGCGGGTTAGTTCCATCAAAAAGTTCTCCATGAAGGCAAATTTTCTCTCAATACTTGATCCAGGAGTTCCCTTGTCTTCTGGATTGAGTTCAAAATGACAAGGCTACGGAGTTGAACATTAGTTGTCGTTAACCCAAAAATTGGGTCGGCTGTTCAACGACGGTCATAAAATATAAAAATTATTCAAAATTCTAGATCATCTCGGATAAAAGTTTCCCTGTAAATCTCCAACAAATCTTTCTTTTACTCTAATAAATAATGAGCTAAATGTAATAGCATATTATATGACATTGTAAGAAATTTGATAATAAATAGCTTTAGAGTGTATATAAATATCAAGAAGCTATTAAAGAAAGCATACTAATTTAAGCGCTTAGCGGGATGAATCATTTTTCTATAATTATAGCATGTTTACGCAGGATGTTTTTAAACATGGAGGATTAGAGATCTACACAATTTCATTGAACATCTTTTTCCACGAAGTTATTCAATTATTTGAAAGCTCTTAATCTTCTAAGACTGAGCGAAAAATCAATCTCTAGAACTTCGTGAAAGAACATATTAAGCAACTTTTTCCGCGAAGTTGAGAACAAGAAGTCTTAGATGGTTGAGCAATCTTGTACACCTACAGCAAATTTGTTTACACTATTTATTTTTAAACCAAAATTTTTAATGTTTTCAGGATTTCACTTAACACACTATTTAGATATGAGATTATTTTTCGCTTTGCTGTCAGTTATTTCATTTGAAGTGTCTAAAATATCACTTAACATGTTCTTCAACTGAGTTTTTCTTTTTGTTCTAAAGTTATAAATCTTCATTACTTTTTTCAGGGATGTGCAGCGAAAATGTTAAGTTACCTCCGCAGCAAAGCAGGCATCGTTGGAGGAATAGCTCTTCCAATTCTTTTGCTTCAGTTATTGGCTTTAATGGCAGCTGGTTGTCTTATCAAAAGTTTAGACGTTGAATCAAAATATTTCATGTAAATCTTCTTTCCTTGTACTTTTATTTAACAAACAGTGTCAATGTTTGACAAAAAATAGTTAGCTTGATGTCTAAAGCTATTTGTGTTAAAGACTATTTGGTTGGACCAAACATTTGATGTTACTTTTTACTTAACAAATTATTTGACGTCAAGATATTGACATTGATACATTGTAACATGACATTGCCATTTTTTAAAAATAAAAAAAGTAGAAATATATGCAGGCTGTTTCGGTGTTATCCCCCTTAATGGGTTATTTTTTTCAATATTTCTCAATTGGGAATCACATATTATGTGTGAGTAAGGAAAAACAAAACAGTAATCAAAATCAAATAAATCAGTATTGGGAAAAATGCGATTAAAAAAAATCGAAACTTATTTGATTGAAGAGAAATTAAGAGGTGAGGAAAAATGCCATCATCATTACTTTCCTAGATCATTACCTTTCTTTCCTAGATCATCTAACGAGACACATGCTTTCGATATTTTTAATCCCTCCTTCCTCATTAGAGGTTTATTCTGATTTCTTGATTGAATTTTGTGAATAAAATGATAGTTTACGAAATTCACAAAATCTAATCTGAATCTATTAAAGCATTTTCATTGTTGGTAAACAGTCTCTGAGGAAATAAACAAGACACATTAATTTTTTTTAAATAGATTTGTTCAATTTCTTATAATGATTGACAGAGCAAATTGTTGCATGTAGTACTTCTATTTTAAAGTGTCTTAATTTTTTTATTAACTTTTCGTGTGATTTTATGTGTTTATAAATGTGTTTGTATTTTTTTTACCTATTTATGAAAAATGTAATTTTGATTTTGGCTGAAATTCATAAAACAATTGAAACCAAATGCAAATAGAAATTTAGATAGCTTTGCTCCATTTTCAGTTTGTTCTTTATTTCTCCTTAAATAGAAACGATCAGTTAGCTTTTTATTTTAAACACGAAGCATGTACCAATATGTATTCGAATAATAAAAGTTTTTTGTTTTATTGTTCTTGTCTTTATTTATCTATAACTCTAAATGAGGAGGGTTTAATCATCATTCGCTGAAAGCAGTATTAGGTTTTTATTTATTTATTTCTAGAATACCTTAAAAAATACCCTGTAATTGGCTGGTTTGTTAACTGCTGACTTGAATGACATAAAATCTGAAAACAGCTTGGCTGCACTAAGCATAAATATTAATATGCGTTACACTTGAGACCTAGCGTCCACTATAGTAGACAATATGGGGTCATTTCTTAAAAAATAACGTATGAAGATTATTTTTTCTGCTCGTGTGCCTTTACAAAGCGATTGTCTATGTTAAAATATGTTACCCATTGACAAAATGGGTCTTAGTTTGAATTTGATGGCGTTCAAGAGTAATAGTAAACAGCGTCCATGCGTCGTGTTGCATGCGTTGCTATGGTGACAGCTGTTTTCTTTTTATTTTCACTAGCAGGCATTTTAACGCATTTACATCATAACAATTTAAAGTATTTTTTATATTCTTTTTAATTATGAACGTATAATGACTGGCTCGACGATGATTTCAAATAAAGAATACTGAAGAAGGAAAAGTATTATGAAACACGTACGTAGGCAGGATCAATCCGACGGCCAACATCGATGGAGACAGTTTTTGCAACCCATGATTTGAAATGTTTAACGGAGTCAATCCAGAAAGAAAAAGCATTTGACCCATGAATAACCAATAATTGTGATAAGGCGATCACAACTTTTATTTATATTAAGCTTATTGTACATTGATATAAGCTTGCTATGTAATTGATGTGATATGATGTATAATGTAATTTAATGCACGATAAAAATATCCCACAATGGGCGAAACTAAGAAATAAAATTGACGTTAATTTATTATTGAAAGTTATGCATTTTCTAAAATGACTAAAAATAGTTAATTGAGATTAATATTAAATTTGTTCAAAAAATAATTTATCGCTTTTATGAGTTTAGTTTTTATAAGTTACAAATTAAGTAAAGATCGCATTTTCGGTCATTATTTAAATGCTTCGGCCTCACGAGATCTTTGTAAACGGAAAACTACAAAGAGACAGCTACAGACCGGAGGGTTCTAGGGGGGGGCATGAAGGGAGTAAGTGGCCATATCTGTTTTAGGAAGCGGACACTTTTTAATATCTTAAATCCTTCTTAAAAGTTGTAAAACAGTTATGATCTAGTTTTAACATACTTTTTGATGAGGGTGTATTTTTAATTTTCTTCAATTTACATTTTCACAAGCACAAAATAGCAACTAAATTGCAAATTTATGATCGATGGTTTAGTTGAAACTTTCTTTTCTTTGGTTAGTTAGTTGGAAGAATGTCACATGTTTATTTTAAATTATTTTTTGTGGGTGATATTTATCCACATTTTTTATTTTATTTTCAATGCATGAAAGTTTCTTCAGTCAATAAAAAAAATCTGAAATGCAAATGTATACTTTTAAAACTATCTTACAAACAAATATAAAGAAACCATAAAGTATGATCATATTTTGAAGGAGCTAATCCGCATTTGCGTTACATGGAGAGGAAGACCACGAGAACCTCCCACGGTTAGCCTGACGGCAAGGGGACTCTAACCCATGATCCGTCTACCACTGTGGATATTTTACGTCAGCACTGTGGTCGGTGCAAGCCGGATGCGGAATTCGTATCGACTGGGATTCGAGCCCGGTCCACCTCATTGGAAGGCGAACGCTCTATCCTCTGAGCCATCGCAGCTTATGCAATGATCATATAGAATAATTTATTATTGATGTATAACTTTTTTAAACTGTAATTGGCCCACTAAATTTAGTGGGTTAAGAAATTCACCCACTAAAATTTAGTGGGCGAATTTTTGGCAACCTATTTGTTTCATTCCATCCTCGTTCCTTTATGCTGTTTCTCCAATTCTTTTTACTATTTCGAATGTTTTCAAAATATTAATGCACTTTTGTTCATAATATACATTTACACCGACAAAAGAGAAGTTATGAAAGATTAACGCAAAACGATTAGGTATATATGACAATGAATTTTTACACAGGTCTTTTTCAATATAAATCATTAAATCTTTTTTAATTACAGTAATACATAAAAAAAAAATTAGAATACTATCAGAAGTATTAAAGCTATTTATCTACATCCCAGCAGGTGTGAAGTTAAAATAAAATGGGAAATTCAAAAATAAGGAACCGAATTTTTTTTTTTAATGAGATACAAAATTTTTTAAAATTTTTATTTTTGTTTTTTGACTTGTCTTAAATCTTGCTTGTAAATGCTTTTTTTAAAACCATCGTTGAACAGCCGATCCAATTTTAAGTTAACGACTACCAAAGTTAAACTCCGTAGTCTTGTAATTTTGAATTCAATCCAGAAGACGAGGGAACTTCTGGATCAACTGGGGGACTTTTTTGATGGAACTAATCTAATAATATGGCCATGGACTGCATATTGTATTTTCAATTCTTTTGCCACCAAAATCCAACCCTTTCGGTTTATGTAAGAATTTTAATAAAAATATAGAATAATCTCTTCTACGAAGTTAATTATTTAGTATATTAATAAACATTATTTAATAATAATAAAAGTTTTATTTTATTTTAATAAAGAGAAATGAGTGCTTTAGGCAAGCGTTGCCCTTATTCCTATCCCATTGTCAGCAAAGATAAGTAAACGTTAAAATTATTTTCCTTTATTAAAATGTGCTTTATTGAAACAAACCAAAAAATTCATTTTCATCATCAAAAAACTTTAACATTTAAAGTGGCAGGATATACTGTTTCGATTCGAAACAATTTTTTAATTCATTTGCTGATTTGAAGAATTAAGAAGTTTATATTCAGACGACAAAGACATTTTTCTTCTTCATCGTGTTTTGAAAGTTTAATCGCTTTCTTCTCCGGTTTTTTGCATTGAAATTTCGACAATGTTAACAGATTTTTTTATTCCTGAAGTTTACAACAAACGACAATTTTTATGACACGAATAAACATTCCTTAAAACATTCGATCACAATTTTTACAATTTTCGCACTTCCGTCTTTCTTTAAAAAAACTTTAGAATTTTAGCCTTATCAGTTCCTCTTGTGTAAAATAAATCATTATTCAAACACACAGCAACTTAAACCTGCTTTATCTTGTTACCTGGGACAACCAACTGATACAAAAGACCTGAACTTTAAACCACTCTAAAAAACGGTTTCTTTTACGGCTTTCTTACCAATCCAACACTTTTATCAAAGGATTTTACTTTTTAAATAAATTTTTATCGCTTTTTATTCGAATCTTCAATTATCTTTGCGAACGATTTCTATAGAAAACGATAGATAATGGCGGGAAATCAAGATACCGAAAAAGTATCATTAGAGATGGAAGCAGGATCGAAAGCAAACGATAACATTATTGGAGACGAAAACAATACTGTCAACGCCACTGACGAAAAACCTCCAGATCCACCGAAGCGTGATCAGTCTCTGGAAAAAGGTGACGTGCTATACGCCACTGTGGAGAAGAAAAAGAAGTGGAATTCGATTCGCAAACCGAATTTTGTTTACAAACAGAGAAGTTCAAAATCGTGGATGTCTTGTTTGAAGATTTCTCTGATTGTGTTCAATTTATTTATTTGGGTAAGTAGTGTAGCTTATTTATATGAATTATAATTCATTTTAAAATTTATTATGCAACTGAATAATAATGTCCTCGATTTTATTCACATTTTTTAAGGAAGTTCAGTTTGATTTTCTAATTAGGCACTTGCATATTTAAAAGCGTTCACCCAGAAGATAATTTTTTTCTTCGCGTTCGCTCAAGTGTACTATTTGACCCGATTTCCTCTTAAGTTTTATATACAGGGTATCTGCTACTTTTAGATTTTCAAATCCATGACTAATACCAAGAATTTTTCATGACTTAACAAAGTTACTATTTGCTCTGTCAAAAACACAACAATAAATTTAAAAGAGTATTATAATAACATTAATCGAAATGATAAGTTTAACCAAAACTGTTATATTCTGTATCTTCATATTTATAGATTTTAAATTTTAAAAACAAAAGTAAAGAAAGAGTTGAAGCAATAAAATTGCTAAAAAATTAACAAAAGAAAATATTTTTTTTTCTTTTTTCCTGCAGAATTATATTCTAAGCATACTTATTTTGTTCATCGGAAAGGAAAGAAATACTCCTGAATTTTCTGTTCTCACAATGACTGGCTTGCTTCAGCTAGAATGAAAATGATGAAATTAAAAAAAAAAAAAAAATAACAAAAATTGGGAAATCAAAGAAGTTTAAAAGATAATTCACTCTAGAAATGATGTTCTTTCTTTCATTTTTTGAAAACACACCATTTTTAAAGAACATGATAAAAAATATTTTATATTTTAATAAAATATGATTGTGAGTGGGGATTTTGTTACAAATTCAGATATTCGGAACACCATGAAATTAGGGGGGCAAATTCCATTTTAAAAATTAGATTTTTCGGTAAGCTAAATCAATGACTTCCCATGATTTTTTTTAAGAAAATGGTTAAAATCATGACATTTCATGACAAATTTTGTTCATCGAATTTCATGACTTTACAGGTGCGTAGATACCCTGTATATAATAAGGTTTAAATCTTGAATTACTTTTCTTTCCTTTAAGAAAAAAATAATAAGTAAATAATTTAAATTAAATAATTATGTATTTTGTGGCTTTTATAAATTATTTATAATTATCTAGGATGGGGATAAGTTTTGTGATGTATGAGGTAAAAAGGATGAAGTCAGGATTTAATACTGAGGAAGCCTTGCGAAGCCACGTGTTTCTTTTGTTGACATTTGCTTTGAAAAATTTATTTTTCTTGATCAACAAAAAATCGAAGTTCAAGTAATTGTTCTTTGTAATCTCTTTTTAATTTCCATTGAAATTTTAAAAAAAAATTAATGCATTTTTTTTCAAATATTAAAGCAGACGAAAATTCTATTTTCGTATTTATTAGTAGAAAAAAAATCGTTTTCAAATTTCGCACAAACTGAAAGCGATTGCTTTATAAAATAATTTCTAACCGAAACACTTTGAAACGAAAAAGAATTTATTAATTCGTATTTATTAGTAGAAAAAAAATCATTTTCAAATTTCGCACAAACTGAAAACGATTGCTTTATAAAATTATTTCTAACTGAAACATTTGAAACGAAAGGAAGAATATAACTTTTTCGTACAAAGATTTCCGAGAAGTTTATTCTTAATTCTTTATTTTACATTTTTTTCTTTTAAATTTATACTACTTTTGAGATAGAGAATTCTTCAAGAAAATTCTTGAAACTCGTTGCTTGAAGATTTTTGCCTTAGATTTTTAAAGTTTTTTGAAATGTTTTGCTTGAAGATTTGTGTAATTTTTTATAGCTTGTGTGTAGTGGTAAGTTTAAAATTTTTAGTTTGTAATTTTTAGCTTATAATTATTTATTTTAAGTCACTATATGTTTTGTTTACTAATATCACTGTATGTTTTTTATTTATTAATATTTTTTCAAATAGTTCTTTTCCTAATTTGAAAGAGTTCAAGCAGCTTCGAATTCATTTAAGCGAATTCCCATACAGCTTCTAAATTTTGTCTCAGTAAATTTTGTATTTCTGTGTTATAAGAAGCAATGAATTTGAGAAATATTTCACAATATTTTTTTTAAATTTACCTTATGATAAATAATTATTTTTATTTTGAAATTATTTTGATAAAGGAGCATAACTAATTAATAAAAGATCAAAAATAAGATTGATTTTATAATGGAACACCTGCAAGTAACGCATTGTGGGTATCTTGATTGGTTGTTGAAACGTGGCATTTGTTTACGTTAGCAACTGTTCTTTACATATGGCCATGTATTTAATTAACTTAGCGGTAATTAACAATTTAAGTTACACAGAGAAATTTAGCTCAACTTTAATACTCCATATTGCAGATAAAGATTACCTGGTGCTGACATCATAGATCACATGTGTGGGTATGGGTAGTCTTCTTCTTGGAGTGTAAGGACCCAATTAAGCGATAAAGAATTTTTTTTTAAAGATTTTATTATAAAAAAAGAATTTATGTCTATGTTAAATGTGTTAACTTAAAATTGACATATCATTATTATTTTATTCTTTCACATGCGAACTAGGCGGATTTATCTCTTAATTGCAAATAAGAAATTTTTAGTATTTTTTGCAAATTTTTTAAAGCTCTTTGATGTTATTTTATTGTAGTAGTACGACTTATTTAATGGCTGTTGCATAGCATTTGTAATTCAAAAATCATCCATAGTTACTCTTATACTGGGTGTTCTGTAATCGCTGCCCTCAATACATATCTATAGAATCCTTGTGAAAAATGATGCGAGGGAAGTATACTTATTAGGGGTCGCACATTAATATTTAAGTCAGAAAATAAAACAAAAAGGCTAGCGTTATCTAACAAACTATTGAGAGTAGGTGTGACAAAAACACCCAAACTTGTTTTATTGCCTAATAGAGCTTGGGAGTGTTTCGCATAATCACCTTTCAACTCCCCACTGTTTCCTCGAGCAATCAGAAAGTTTTTTATATTTTCAGTCCTGCTTTCCTTATGAGTGATTGGTTATTTTCTAAAAAAAAAAAAAAAGTTTTTTCTTCTCTTAACTATTAATTATTGGCCCATAATGTGCTCACATTTTCGAATCAACTTCTCACTAGAATTCTTAAAATGCAGGATGTGTATAGAATTCTGACAAGTCCTACTAAGTTAAATTAAAAAAAAATAGTTCAAAATTCTCATTAAGTTATTGCAATATTAATGCTGTATTTCAATATTTAAAAACACACACTTCCATGAGTTTTTTCATAAATTTTAGTTTTAAACAAATATAATTAAGCAGGTCATTCATGTGATTTTCTTCATAGTTTTTTTTTACAATCATTAGAATATCACTGATTGTATATTCTAATGATTGTATGAAAAAAGCATTAGAATATCGCTGATTGTATATTCTAATGATTGTATAAAAAAAGCATTAGAATATCACTAATATATATATATTCGCTTTCTTTCCCCCCTTTCTTTCATTCATTTGATTTATTTAAAATCAGTTACAATAATGGTTTGATACAGCGACGCGAATTTAATGTGCTTTAATTGTTAAAAGCAAATAATGTTTAAACAAACTTCGTATAAGCTATGTATTAAAAAAAATAAAACAAATGGACGTCATAGAAACGGGAATTATTTAATTAATATAATTCTGAAATATAATATCTCGTTCATAATTAAAGTATTAATGATGCATGCTAAAGTCAACGTTTCAGTTTAGCCAGACAAGCATTTGTTAATAAACTAAAATTTATGCGTATAACAATAATATTTTGCAATCTGATGGAAAACAATGGCACATGGAATGCAGAAAGGAGCGTAAAACAGCCATTGTTTTTCAAGGAAACGCTTAACCATTTAAAGTTGACGAAATAAATATTTAGAGTAACCAAGATAAAAGGAAACTATTTTCAAAACAGAAACATCACATTTCAAAGACATCTGCTCCTGCACCTGCACCATTGAGAAATGTGACCAATACATATTTAATTAAGACCCGAAATAGAAAACTAAGCGTATCAACACTCTATATTCATAACTGAAAGAATATTGCGTAAAACAAAATGTACAGCCTCTTTATAAGTACTCAACTTCAACTTTATTCACAAGCTGAATAGTCTTGGAAAAATTCTTTTGGGATCAAAGAATTGGTAATAACTAGCACTATGCAATCATGCGGGAAATTGAAAAGAAAATACAGTAACAATTAAAAATTATTTCATTTTATTATTATATGTTGCTTTTTTATATGCAGCTTTATTATATGCAGTTTTTTTTTCTCATATACAGCACGACACAATTTTAAAAGTCCAAATGAGCAACTTTAGCTGAACTTTTTAGAAGCTGAATTAGTATAAATATAAAAGAGCGAATAAATTTCCATACGGACAGGAAAAAAAAAGCTTAGTTGCGAAAAGGGTGAACATTTTCTTATTGTTCCTTCGCTAATTTTATTTTGTTTCCAAAGATCATGCTTATTTAATCCCTAGAATTATAAAAATGATTTACTCTATTTTAAACCTCCAAATAAATAAACTTATTTCTTTATACTTAATTATTTTCTAAGCATCTAACTAAATTATGTGTGGGTTATTTTTAAATTTATTGTTTTCCTTTATTTAAATAACTACGCCATCTAACGATTTTTTTAAATTATGGAAGGTTTTATTATTTTTATTAAAGGACGAGTAGTTAAAGCACATCTAAATACATTTGTCGCGAAAGGAAAATACAGAGATAATTTAGGTTATAAAAAGTTTGGGAAACTTTTAATTTAGTAATGTTAGTATAATTGGTACTAAAATATAGCCTAAATGGGTCTTATTTTGTTCAAGAAAGGTTTAAAATCTAAAAAGATTCCAAAAGAATTTTTTTAAGCACAAAAGTTTTTTTTTAATTTTTTTTTTTACTCTCAGAAGTATTTTTGATAGAAATAAAGTATATCAGAATTTGTTTTTCGTTTTTAAAGCATGATTGATTATAATTGCACAATTGCTTTTATACCATTTTTATCATTTTCTTAAATATTTGTTTTGCATC